AGGGAAGGGAAGACTGCCCGTTCCCTGGGTGCTCTGTCAGTGCTCTCCACTATTCAGAGTCTCAGAGGGAAGTGCCAGTGTGTGCGTCATGTGCTGATCGAATACAAGTGCTGTTGTCATGAAAATTAATATTTGACAGTATTTTGTCATGCTTTGATGTTGGACAAGACCTCATTCTCTGCACAGACACATCAGCATATCGGTCAGGTTAATGCAACTTGAAGTCAGTTTTAATAAAGATCCACATCACAACCCTTGGGAGATGCTAGTTACAAATCACACATCTTTCGCACTTTATCACACATCTCCATGGGATTATTCTACTCTATGGAAAGAGATGCTCTATAGTTGCTTTAATTTGGATAAAATTAAGTGTCCCTTATCAAGACGCCACACCAGAAACACTTGCGATCTTGCTGCCCCAGGTGACCCAGTGGAATCCTGAAGTGTTGTCTCAACTACAAACTTGCCTCATCACATCATTGCTTTGATTCTGCAGTTGCTATGGTACCCAGAACAAGTCCTCAGTATTAGTCCCTCCGGGCACAAATTAAGAATCAGTTCTGTAGGATGTTAAGTACTTAGCTCCCACTGACCACAGTGCTGGTTTAATTTATTGAAAAGAAAAGGAAAATAGCTCCGATAGAAATCAACTGTTAAACAGAATGCTTTGCATATAAATATCAATAGTGTCACTTCAGATTATCTAGAGCATCTTAAAGCAATACCTGTAATTTTTAGACTTCAGGCACCAATGTCCATCCAATTCTTAAAGAATATTTCACAAGTTCATTAGATAGAGGTAAAGCAATGAAATACTCTAGATTCAAGTAATACAATTATTTAAGATATTCTTAAGAGCTTTGGAATCACTGGATATGTTCAATTGACTTAATTCTTTTGAAGACACCCTAGAATTAATTTCGATCTGGCTTAATATATAAACGTTATAGCAACTGAAATAATATGTCATATTTACTCTTACTGTCTGTTTATTTTAACATCGTGGAGATCTCAAGAAATTTAGCAGCCAGTTTCATGAAAGTCCTGTGAAGTTCAATGACGTGTATTTAGAAAGAAGGTCAGTAAGGAAACTAGTAAGTAATTCTGGTAAATCACACTTACCATGGATCACAAGACCACAGGATATTTTCTACCCAGTTAATAATGAGATCTCATTTTAATTTTGCATATCTTAGAATTAGTTGGAGTCATTAAATAGGTATTTGTCCAATAATTTCCATATAGGTAGCAATAAGATACTATATTTAATAGTGTGAAATTAATTCTGACATTGAAAAATGTGTAGAATCGTGGAGCACACTGTATATTCAGCAAACTTCTCCAAAGGCAACCACTTTCCATCAGAGCACCAGGCAGTTTTAGTAAAATTCTCCTAGTGATTGTGACTTTTTTTTTCCTGGTGAAGAGCATATTGTGCTATAATCCTAAATAAAATGGTTCAGAATATTTCACTTCCAATTAAAAATATCTGTGCAAAATTAGTCTGTACTAATTACTTGAAGTCAGCAAGCTGTCATGCTCACTTACTCCTTACAAAGGCTCTGTGTTACGTGAGCTGGGTTCAGGGGACTTGTGAACAGGTGCATTTGTGCCATCACTCCTCATTACTTTAATCAGATTCCGAAGTGAAGAGACGATAAAGGCTCCCCACTGCGGACGCCCTGGAGCAGAGTTGGAGCCGATTGGCCAGATGGAGTTGCCAGAATAGCCGATGCTAAACATGGCACTTCAATTTCTAGGACAGGGATGGGTCCTGCTCAGTTGCTAATGGAAAAGATGTATCAGAACTGATTGTCAGTGGTTTCCAGTTAGATTTAGACAAGGATCTATGATAAAAATGAGTTTATGGGCTCTTGTCTGTAGCATCTAACAGGGCCTTCCTTTTCTAGTCTTCTTACTTCATTTTCCATTCTTTTCAGTGATGGAGATTAGTATTTTTCAGGAATTGCAACTCCTTTTTAGCTGAAGTCGCTGTCTCCATGTCACCAAGTCTTAGACTATCCTTATTATATTGCCAGTCTGATCAGATTATTAATATATGGTTTATACTTATTTTTCTTGAATCGGAAGTTTTTGGGTATCTACCCAGATTTCAGCCAGACTGGCTGGGACCTTACCAGAGTCGCAATAGGAACAAAGCAATTATTCTGTACTCAACAGTAAATATTGAATTGGATTTATCTGGCACATGAAAGTTTGAGGATACTATTGGTATAGAAATTTTCCAATTACAGCCTGCTTTTTGGCAAAGATATTTAGCAAAAGTGGAAGGGCATCAGTTGGTTCAGCCTATCCAGTATCCATTTAAAAAAAAAACATGCAAATACTATTCCAAGCACTATAAAATGAATTTTGCATTCCAGTGGTGAGAGACCGAGACAATTAATATATAAGTCATAGAACTGGTAGAAAAAAACAAAGAACAATGTTTTTGCTTTGGGAACAGTTTGCAACATTAAGTATGGTGTCTAGCCTCAGATTTGAATAAATTACATGCAAGATGTTAATTAAAGTTAATCATTCAGGTAACTGTTGAAAGAAAGTTCTAGGCAGAAAGCACAGTCAGTACAAAGCCAGTGATGGAAATGACCAAAGAGAAAAAGAAACCAGAGGATGTACTGTATGTCCTTGCATGGTGGCCGTGGGGTGGGGATGGAGAATGGGATCTGGCGCATGAGCAGGGGCAGGGAAAGTTAAAGTGTGTGCCTGTGTGTATATATATCCGTAGCGCTTGCAAGAAACTCACCATCTACAGGAGATAGAAAATGACTATTATAATTTAGTCTGGTAAGTTTAAGTTCAAGGGGAAAAAAAAAAAACAGAGAGAGAGAGAATGGCAGGAAAGCTACATCATTCGAGCCAGGGCAGTTGTACTGACCCGTGCTCAGTGTGTTCCCGGGGCCGGCAGCATCAGTATCATCTGGCAACTTGAGAAGCAGAAAACTCTGGAGCCCTGCATGACACCAACTGGATCATTATTGGCATTTTTAACAAGATTCTAAAGTGGCTCATAAGAATGTTAGAGTTTAAGAAGCCTGTTTTACAGGATTTTAGGAGTAGCATGGTGGTCCGTTCCAGAGAAAAGAGCAGGGGAAAGAAACAAATCACATGAGCACCAGCCCTGCCACCGAACCCAGTCTTTTGTGGCCTGAAAGCTAAAAGGTTCAGGGTTGAACTAAAGTCTAGGATTACTGTGGAAGGAGGTGATATGACAGAGAAAATTGAGGAGGTTTTATGTGCTACTCTGGGCACTGAGAGCTGGTCAGGGACTTGTCAAATGGGCGATATAATCAGACCTGGATGTCAGCCAGGTCTCTGGGGCGCCCAGATGAGAGACTGTGAGGGCCTGAGTTACACCTTTTCCTCCGCATTCACAACATCCTTACAGGTAACTTCAAAGTTCGTTTCTTTTTCATTGTAAGTTTTATAAAAGTTTAACACAAATTCAGAAAATAGGAAAACCTTAAAAAACACTTCCACCAGGATTTTTGTGTTATTTTACATCAGAAATGTCACCCCTTACTTACCGTGAGCCTTTTTTCTGGAGTTAAATATCGTAAAACAGCATAATGAAATCTAATTAGAACATTCAGACATTTGAATGTTTATCAGAGTGATGGACTGTAATTAAACATAAAACTTTCAGTAACCATTCAGGTCAATTTGACTTCATGAACGTAATGAAAAATTTTTGTGCAAAAAGAGGTGTTATGTGTCTTTGATATTATCTTTCAGACATTAAAAAACATGAATGTTAAAACTTTTGGTATACATTTCCAAAATGCATTATGAAATTTAGTTCAATTATTCCAATTTTGAATATAAGTAGCCTATTGTAAGTATCATATTCTACTCAAACTCTTTTTCATCTAGTTGTACCAAATAGTTCTTAAATATCTAATACCTATCTGTGATTTAGCTTTCCAAATAGTTATTGTATATCCCATATTGGTATTCCTATATTAAAATCCAAAACAATAGAATAAAAGCTGAAAATATATAAATCAAAGAAAAAAATACAAAAAGATAACATTTCTCATTAATTAAATCATTTAGGAACTGTCCTAGGCCCTGGCATTGTAATGCCACGTAAGTGGGGTTTTTTTTTTGTAGGTACTTGAAAGATGATGAAAATGTGAAATAATCTGTTCCAGAATATTAGCCAAACCTGATTATTAGCCTATTACCTTTTTCTTCTAATTTTTATCTTGATTGTATATAACAAAATTATCTCTGAAAATTAATTTTTAATGAGCCATGAATGTTGAGCATTCTGATTCCTCCCCAAATACTGAAATTGGATCTAAGAGTGTACCCCAAGAAGAAAAAACAGTGTGTATGCTTAGCCTGCGAGAATTTTGTAGGAATTTTTTAATTATATGGGATAGTTTTTTACTCTAAAATATTTCTGTAACATCTAACAAAGTAGACATTGATTTGAATAGCTAACTTCAAGTAAAGTATAATTATTACAATGCAACTTAAACCTAATATATTAACAAATGCAGAAAAAATAGAAAGATCTGTAAAAAAAAAATTCTAGTTCCATGTTTATTGGTCTAAAGTAGAGACTAGAGGAAAGTGAAGTTTAAAAAACCTGCACAGGTTAGATGAGGGAGAACTTTAATGGTAAGAAAGTAAACTTGGATTATGTACATCAAAGCATTATCTTGTAAAATTATTTACTAATTTACCTCCCAAAGGCAATTAGAAGGGATCTTGTTTGACCTAAAAGAAAAAAAAGAAGAAACCAAGGAGATAGCACTGTATATATTACGGACGCCATGGAATAAAGTTGAGGTAATTTGAGCATCAAATATAGAAGTACCTACAAATTATTTAAACATGCCCGATAAATATATTTATAGTGCATGAGTTTTACATTCATACAAGTTGTTCAGTTTTAGAAGATTCTATGAAAACAAGTCATCATCTGAAAATCATCTTAACTGAAGCGTTTTCTATGTTGCTTTCAGCTTCATGAGTTCCTGAGTCAGATTCATAAGCTCCAGAGATCTTTAGATGAACAGAAAGAAACAAATGAAAACTTGGAAATGAAACTCAGGCACTTAATAAACCGGCAATTATTTCACAAAATGTGTTGAATTCAAGCTTGGGGCCTTAGATAAGGAAACCCTGATGTCCTGTTTCCCCTCATATTTTCTTAAATATCCATAACATTTTTGCTCACTAGAAATACTCACAAAATGAACTTACAGGTACAAAATAGTTAAATTTAGGGGCTTCTTAGCTCTTATTTCTCAAATATTGCATGTGATGATAAAGGCAATTTAAATATCATTTAAGAACAACTAATTCTAAAGGTATAAAATTTCTGAAAGGCAAAAGGAGCTTTCAGAATACATTTCATATAGAGCTAAAAGTTACAACATCTGCAAGAAAATATATGTTGTAAACCATACAATTTGCTGGGTAGTTGACAAGAGAATCACCTTACTTAAGTAATGATTTAAGTAATTGATAAGCAAAAAATCACATATGCACAAGTCTATGTGGTAGGGGTGGCACGCTGTGTGGAAAATGTTTTCAGCCCAGAGAGGTAACAATAATTTTGGTATAATTCTTCATACAAGGCACAAGTGGGCAGAAGTGTCAAACAATATGGTTTGCATTATAAGGAGACTGAAGGAGACCCAGCTAAGATTTGCTCTCCAATTAATACAAACAGATTGCCTGGGATTGAAGTTAAGGAAAAGCAACAAGCACCTCACAAACTAAGAATGGACATTTTGCAGTAAAGTCATAGGAAAGCCCACGAGCATTGAAAGTAGTGTCTAAGTGTAAATTAGGTGGAAATAAAGCTGTGATTTCCTTTGAGTTGTATGAACAAAGCAAAATATAAAATTGTATGTAGAGAAATATTTAAGACCTTTCTATGTAGTATAGTTTACTGCTTCATAGTTCAGTTTTTAAGATAAATTTACTTAAAAAAAAAAAAGAACACCCTGTAACCTTACATAGCCGTTGCTCATGTCTTTTACAAACATGACGATGGCTGTCATCATCTTTGTGGGCAATGCAGGTGCCACCAGCGCAGTGACTTTCGATTAGGCTTTTCTCTGACCCCTATTTCTGCAGCTCAGTCAGAAGAGAGGTTTTGCTGCTTATTATCTCTGTGACCTTGAGTACGTTACTTGTGGAACTATATAATACTCCCTTAATAAAGATCGAATGAAATAGTGTATAAGTGTCTGACACAGCAACTGACATTTATAAATATGCAACACATATTAGCTTATTTGTTGCACTCTGCTTTTTAGGAGGTAATTTCCTTTAAGCAAACACTTTTAGATAGCAAATTTTCTGCGGAAAAAGGAAAAATCACTTTAAAGAAATCTTGGCAATGCCCCCCAGAAAATTTTTGAATTGTAATAATACTTGCCCTTGACTTCAACTCCTTAAACCTGTAACCTCCTATTGGGTATGTTTTCTTACCTGTTTTAAAATCTCTTGGTAAGATAATTTACATCTTCTACTAAACAGCAGTTAATAATCCTGCCGTTACACACCCGAAACTCCTTTATATTAGACTTAAAAAAAGTCAGGAAAAATGTGATATAAAAAGATAATCATTAACCAGTAAATTAAATGTCAAATTTTTTGTCTTTAAATGTTATCTGTCACTTTAAAGAAAATCTTTAGAATTATAAATATTAGAAAACTCTGAGAATAAAAGAAAATTTAAATATAAATATTTTCTTAAATGAGAATACTCATAACCACATTAATCAAGAAACCCCAATACTGTTTTAAATACCCCTCAGCATTGTTATATTAACCAGTTTCAAATAGAAATATCTTATACTAGAACTACAGTAACTTATGCGTAGTTTATATTGAACCACCTAAAGAAATGCTACCACAATGGGGAATGTTTGGTATTATACTGCAAAGTACCACCGATTCATGTAAAATATGAAGGAATAGATACAGAAAAAGTAATGCCTATTTTATGACGCTGCTCTTACAAAGGTTTATAAAAACACATGGAAGAAAGGAGCTGTTAGCTGACTTTAAGTCAGACTGTTGAAAATACGGTGTCATCTCCACATCCCAAGGGGAGCTGTTACAGACTTAAAGATTAGCGTTGAGGTAACACACATTGTGCACTCTCCCTCCAGAACGCAAAGGCCTTCCGTGTCCCACCCGGCCTGGCGCTCACTTATTCCTAGGAATAAAGCCGTAGGCTGTGACTGGTGTGGGAAATGGAATCTTCTCCAAAGCATTCTCACCTTGGTAGCGGGCGTGCAGCTCTCTCCACTGTGCCTGAACTTCGGGTACATCACACCCGATGCAGTGGAAAGCAGAAGGATGCTTATTTCTAATCTTAGTATTATTTCTAATCTTAATGTCTTTTCAACGTGTTGGCATGATCCATTTCTAAAGAAGTACACACAGTATTTTCCTTTGTGTTATACTGTTGGGAAGATAGTAACCAATGTTTTCTGAAATCACTTTGAAATATCTGGTTTCTGTATCTTCAAATGAAGGCTAAATTTTATATTCACTTGGGGACATAACTAATAAATAACATTTGAAAATTTCTGCTCATTGAGGAGGATTCTGCTCCTAAGAAGAGAATAATTTTCAGAGATGTGTTCAAACATCTGTACACACTGTATCCACCAAGAAGCCACAACACTACAAAGATCTATTCAAAAGTAAATGCTAACAGACCAATGTAATTATTTTCTGCAGTAACAGCTTGGCAAGTTTAACTAGGAAAACAGCCTCTATGCTGAATGTAATATTGTTCTTATTTGAACATATCTCATGTTTGTATGTATTCTCCATGGAAAAAAAATATTCCTGAGTCCAACTTGAACTGTAATTATTGGAGTGAGGTGTCAATCCCACAGTCACACAAGTAATGTGAAAGAAATCTGTCCTATTCAGGAGCTACGCTGATGACTCAGATAAAGAAACAGGGAAAAGCAAATATATAATTCTACATTATTTTAAAAGAGAAGTAGAAATAAAATTGGGTTTTAAACAGAATGTAGTTGACTAGGAAAAATTTTAAAGAACAACTCACATAATAAAAACAGTGATATAAGAAAGGGCTACTGGAACACATATAATATTAACATTGGATCTCATTTTTCCCTCTATGTGGGCACTACCTTACTTGCTTTATAGGATAGAAATTAGAATCTCCATTTTACAGGTGAGAAATAGTGGCTTCAATAGCTGTATTTACCTAAGTGTCATATGGATGTCTGTGGATGGGCAAAGACCTATTAGAGGAAGAGGTTAGGAGACTTCCAGACATGCATAAGACATTCAAGCAATTCATTTGATCCCTTGACGTCTGTCTTCTCACCTGTAACATGGAGTTAACAATTCCTGTTTAATTATGAGCTTGCCACCATACCTTACAATTTAGCGTAGATTAATAGTGTCATTTCAGAGAAGTCTGACATGTTTAATGATTATTTTATGAGGCTTAAATTGAGGGTAGATTAAATAAAGAAGAGAAATACACCAATAAAGTGTTTCTCATTGGCCAGGATTTCATTCATAATTTTTTCAATTTATTCATTTAATGTAATATATTTTTCTTTAATACTTAAATCTGACCATACTTTTCGGTTCATGTCACTACAAATAAAGGATCTTAGGAATGGCAGTGATGAGTAGGGTGCAGAGTATTTCCCAAAAAGGGATATTAGGAGGAGTTAAGGTTCTGTTACTTTTAACGTTTGCTCCAATTTAACTGTTAGCATCCAACAAATTGTTCAGTAGCAAGAGATGACTAAGTAGACGAATATGAACTTAAAACTAAAAAGTAAGACATTTTATTTTAACATCAAGCTGTAATTTAGGATAAAGAGATAACAGTATTCAAAATTCATCAATTTGTACATCTGAAATGTGTCGCTTACTGTACAGGAATCATATCACAATAGAAGTGTTAAAAAAAAGATAAAAGTATTCAGATCAGTACTTGGAATTTCGTGAAAGAACATTCTGTTATATTCTTAGACTTATGATTAACTCAGTTACATAAAATCAGATTATATCAGTTCTCTTTAGCTTGCTTTTAGGTCTATTTATTCTCTGAATGAGTGGATAATAACTCAGAATGTTACAGTTGAATGGAAATACAGCTTTCATATATAAATCTTTAATTAGCCTAATTTCTCTAAGTATGAAATACATTTTGGACTGCATTTTCTGATATGAAATGTGGCGTCTAAGAAGTGACTCTTTCAGCTTAATTGTTAAATAGAATTTAGTATTTTTAGTATTTTAGAATTTTAGTATAAATAGAATGTAGTATTCTATTTTGTTACATAGAATTTAGTGCTAAATAGAATTTAGTAATTTTGATAATGATTCCTGCAGTGGGGTTTGGGGTTAAGGCTTCCAGAATCTGACTCATTATTTAGAAAAGGAAAAAAAACTTTACTTGGAGGCTACAAAATATATGTGTCCACACATCACAATCCCCCTAGAAACTTATACAGTAGTCCACTGAAAGCTATGGTTAAGTCTTTAATTGAGGAAGGATTACTAATTCCTCTTGGATGAAATTTCCTTTGTTTTAAAAGTTCAAACTTTGTAATAACCACAAAAAGTAGAAAAGCATACAATATGTGTTAGTTTAACAAAATTCTATTTGGGGATGACAGTAGCATTTGTGATATTTCAACGTTACTATAAAGTAACGTTGAAAAGATTAAAAATAAATTTTGTATTTTTTCCCTATAATAGCATACCGAAGTTAAGATTCTGAACAGTGAATGAGTCCATTAGCCCTCTACCTGAGTTTATCTAAATTAGCAACATTACAAATAAATCTGAAAGTAGATAAAAAGTTGGTTAAAGCATCAATAACAAACGGTACGAAATTAAGCTGCAGGTAGAATTTAAAGAGATAACAGAAGTTAGTGGTAAAAGTATTAAGAAAACGTTGAGTTTTATTGTCATTTGGGAAAGGCCTTTTTAAGCAAATGCAAATCCCAGAAGCTATAACTTATGACATGTTTGATTTCGTGAAATTTTAAAATTTATTTTAATCAAAACTCATTCCCCAGAGCCTACTGCCCTGAAGTCCATGAGGTCCACGTTTCTACGTGATC